AAAAATTGCGCCATCCTCTTTCCCGGCGGTGTAGCAAAAACCAAACCATTTCAACAAACTTGAGGAAAGAACGGGAAAAAAACACAATTGCTATGAGTTTTGGGGCAACGCCTTGCTTGTGCGTCTTTCAGTTCTGCCCATCAAAGTGTCTGAGTGTTCTGTGCCTGAGAGACCTGCCTCCCCGGGAAACTTCTTTAACACATCATTTGCCTTCTGCCGCAAGCGACTTTCTCGCTCTTCGCGGGTCTGGCAGAAATCATCCTTAGAATGCAAATTGCAAGAAGCCTTGCAATTCATGCTCTGGTTCAGCTGGAGTGGACGAGCCAGCGTGCATACGCCTACGCTTTTGTTGCCATTTGAACACACTTCGGAGGGCAGCTGAGTGCAAAATGCACAGAAATGCTGGCCTCGATTTACGTCGCTGGAGGTGAAAAGAAGGCCTACTTGCTACTTTAAATACTGAAGTCTCACTGATACTGATTCCTCCATCTCTCATTCTGATCCCATTGGCTTCGGTTGGACCATGTGGTGTTAGGCCACTGAGGCCTTTGATCATTTTGCCAGTCTCTTTGATTGGCATTGCGGTCCCAAGCAGGTTCCGACGTTTCCCAGTCGCGGCCTCTCCCTGTCCACTGGTCATTGTTCCAGCCTTCGCGCTGATCATGCCAGGAGGTCCACTCTCGGTTTTGCCATCCTTCATTCCATCCATGGTCTGCTCCATCCTGGGGATTGTGGGATGACCAGTTCGCATCATTCGCATCTTCCTGTTGAAGATGCTCCTGCTCATCCCTCACACGAGCAGCGGGAGAATCTTCTTGGAGCTGCAAGGCTCCTTGCCTGAGCCAGTCCGGGACAGGGACACCTTCAGTTCTCAACATGTCTGGGAGAGCTATCACGACCTTAGCAAGGTCATCCATGCGGGCCGGGTTGGATGTGACGTAGATTATCACCCTGGACTCTCCTGCTCTTCTTCGGTCAAATCGGTAGCGCATCATCTCTTCCGTGGACGGAAGATCATAGTGCAAGCTGTCAATTCCACTGATGTCCATCGTCTTGACCCCGTGATCAGTACTGACGATTACTTGGATTTGCCCTTGAAGGAACTTTCTCCAAATCTGCTGCTGCCGGTGTTTGTCCACACTGGCGTGAAGGGCAGCACTAGGGATGTGTGCTCCAAAGAGCTTTTCATCCAAAGCTCTGGCCTGCGACCTGCTGTTTACCCAAACAAGGAGCCGCAAAGGCTGACCTGCTTGTCTTGGCCAAGAATCAATATCTTTGATCAAGCGAAGTGGCTTTTCACTCAGCTCTACCTTTTCTGTCTGAATATCTCTTGCTGGGCTGCAAGCCAAACTAGTATAAACAACCACTGGCTGATGCAGAAGAGATCCCTTTAAATCTTGAACGTCTTTCGACAGAAAGCAACTGGTAAAAATCATGGACATTCGCTCTGTTTTGTCAGGAATGCCACTCTGCAAAAGGTGTTGGATATCCTTTCCCATGCCCATGTCCATCATGCAGCTTGCATCAGTGAGCACGAGGCCGAAGGTCTGCTTTAGGCAAACAACCCCGCCGGACACCATGCTGAACAATCTCCTTGGATCGGCCGAACGGAAATGCTGCGAAACGAAATGCTGGGGCGATTGTTTTGGGTTGTTTTGGGTTGGCGAACAACATGTTTTTCAGACTCTGGGGCACTTACGAGGGAGTTGCGACCATCACGTCGGCACCAATGATCTCCGCAATTTGCCGCCGGACGCTTCCGTCGCTACCACCGCGTTCTCCGCGCCCATGCAAGCACACAGATCGAAAGGCGGAGCCTTTGAGCAATGCAAATGCAAGCTGGTGACTTTGCATAGCACTTTCCCGTGTGTGACAAAGCACTAATGTATCAGGCACACTTTTGCCAAGTCTTGGTCTGTGTGGCAACTTTTGCATCATGTTCACCAGCATTGGCATCAAGAATGCAAGTGTTTGACCAGATCCTGCTGGTGCATGGCATTGCAGGTCTCGTCCGGCTAGACCAGCTGCAAGCACGTACTTTTGAAGCAAGTTGGCTGGACTAGCCCACAAGTTGTTCTCAAGCAAATTCTGGCGGAACTGATCTGGAAGTTTGACTTTCATCCGGCCAAAAAGATCTTCAAAGGTTGCCACCTGCAGTTGGGGAATTCCATCCAACTTGGCACCTTCAGTACTGCACTGCAAAGCGACGCCTCCGCAGTAGTCATGATCTGAAATTGTGAGGCTTTGATTTGATACAGGCGGAACCGTATCTGCAAACTCAGCTTCCAGGTCGAGCCTAGACCACCAGCTGTTGAGGAAGAACAAGCGATCTTCGTTCAGAATTGCTTTCTCCTTGACTGGATACTCAAAGATGAGATGCTCCTTATTCCGGCAGCCCGTCCATGTTTCTCCTCCACACTCGAGATGAAGAGCAGAGCCTTCGAAGGTCACCTCCAACTCCTCCAATGGGTCTGTGTCATTGACAAAGATCTCGATCCTCCGAGCAACTTGGGCCATGCTCTGGGCTTGCGGTAGATTCTGTTTTCAGAAAATTAGTTGTCAGTTGTCAGGGCTTTCTTGTGCGATGTGAGGCCGTGGGTATGAGTCAAACGGAGTCAACGGTGGGAAATGGATTGTACGGCTTTGCCCTTAGTCCGCTTGAGCCAGAAAAAGGCTTGACGGCTTGACACCCAGAGTCAGCTTGTCATGAGCTTGGACTCCTTGAGCCTGTTTGGACGATGTCAGGGCTGAGTGCGATTCATGCGTAGGGCTCTCAGCAGCGGCTGCATCAATGTCCACCTTCATACCTTCAAGTTTGTTCCATCCGCCTCGCCCAGCAGCCTGACGAACCAATGGCTGTTGTGGTGAGTCAATGGTGGCAATGACTCAAGCGCCTGCCAGTGAGCTACCAAGTGAGGAGAACGAACCGGCATGCTGTCGCCAGTGTCCTGGCACCAACAGCTTCATCCAAAGAAAGCGGGACGATAAAGTCCAGTCATCCTCCGCAATGAGACCACTGGTGCCGCCCACTTTGTCTTCTGACAGCGCCATCATCCAAACATGCCCCTGTCAAAACGCGAAACTCAAACTTGCGTCAAAAACATCTGTGGTGCGATGGCAGTCTGCCTTCCAGAGCCAGCCTCTCCTCAGAGTCTGCGACTTTACAAACTGTGTTCACGCTTTCTTTGGGAGATCTATTCAGTTTCACAAAAATGCGCTCAGCAAAGGACCCCCCTGATTGCTTCCACACCGGCAGACCGTGCTCACGCCTGCCAAAGGGCTGGAAGGGAGGTGTCACAGCCCGTTTTGAGTTTGTTTGGACCAACTCCCGACATGTGAGCACACCATGTGAGCACACCTTTGCATGGTTCTCATCAGTGCACAACTTGCAAATCAAATCCTAGTGATTATATTATAAGTCTGATGAACGCTACTGGGAACAACACATGTATGCCAGGACTAATGGAGGTACGCTGAAAGCAACCATAGAATTCTTTGGACTTTGCATGCCTTATTGGGCCTAGTTTTCACGAAATGTGAGATGCATTTGACGTCTCGCTCGCCGGAAAAGGTCTGCTTGGAGTCCCTTGTTGGATAGCTCCGCACAGGCGTTTCCGAAACAGGACAGCCAAAAAGGAGCCTGTTTAAAATATATAGCTTTGTGAAAGCAGGATTTCAAGAAAACGCGGTAGGTTATGTGCAGGCAAAGATAGTTTTCTTTGGGAACAAGTGTGTTTGCAATTGGCAGGGGCAAAGAAAGCAAGAGTCGCCGGTTGCCTTCCACATTTACAGTCGCGGCTTGCCTAGTAAGGCCAGTGGGAACTTTTTTATATAGGAGCTTTTAGTTTGTTGTGGCGCTTTATCAACAGTGCCGGTTTGATAGAGCCTTCGCTGAACAGCAAAAACGGATTGACCATCGTGGGGCAGAGTCGGTTCCGTGCAAAGAAACAAAAGTTGGAGCTGAGAACGAACGGCCTTTTCCAGCTACTAGGAGCAAGGACGCTATTAGGGGCTCCTGGCCTTACTACTAGGAGCAAGAAGCGACTAGTAACAAAGGGCATCGCTACCAGGAGCAACAAGCTTCAGGAACAATGCGTCGGTTGTGCATCGGTTGCTTCAATTCCATCGAAGTCGCCAAGCCTTGTTGCCGAAGCAGTGTACAAACCAGACAATTCGGCATGCCTTACTCAGACTGCAAGCCTCGTGATTTCCGAAACAAAGAATAGAATCCAAATGCGGGAAGGAGCTCCAAAGCTAATCTATCTGACCAATAACATTGCGAACCCAGCCACTCTCCAGGAATGGAGACTTTGAGATTTGGAGGAGCGCTGATGCATTTCTTGCAGCAGGTCCTGGACAAATTGCACACGTTTTTGGCTGAAAAGGAATTGTTGTTTGATCTCAGTGTCATGACTTGTTACACTGAGATCAAGTCCATCTAATTCTTGAGCTTTTCAACTGTCAAGGTTCATATTGACTCATGCGCGGGGAGAACAACTGAAGCGCTCTTGAACCCGGAGGCAGCGGAGCGCCCGCAGCCACTTTCACACGGCGGTGCTGGAGGCATCCTGAAGAATTAAAGTCAGCATGCAAGAATAAAAAGAAATGGGCACGGCACAACAGATTGCATTTATACACGCACACAAACACACGCACATGCATGTCCAAAACCACAACGCTTATACGGCTTGAGGCAAGCGACAGGCTGGGATGAAAAAACTCGTAGAAGTGCTGTGGGTTGCGGCCTGTGGGGTCACAGGAACAAGTTTGGAGATCTAAATAGCCGCTGGGGCACCAACGGTAGCACTCAGCACCATATTTGCATTCCTGTCAGGGTTTGCACGGTGTATAGGGTGCAAAGTGTAAACGTCTTGACAAACTCATCGAAACAACATAGCCACGGGCAGGCTCATTTGTGAAGGAGCAATCCAAAATTGCAGGCCTCCAAGAGAGCCTTCCGGGGTCCTAGCAGGCACAGTTCACCAAGGATTCTAGTTTCCAACATCTTTCCAACATCCCACGCCTTTGGGAGGAGCAAGTGCTAGTTTGGTTTGACAATGCACCCCAGCAATTCCAGGAGCAATTCGTAGTCCTCAAAGCGTGCAATTGCAAGAATGGCACGACGTTCAGCCAACGACGACGATGACGACACCTTTTAAGCTTCTTACGTAGGAGGTACTCCTCGCTGGCGCGGCAAGTTGCCCGGAGGCATAGGAAACCTTTGTGCTACCACGAAGCACGCGAAGGCAAAGTTACGCACCGACCAAATAACCGACAAGGGGCACAAAGTCTTTCCATCTGCAAGGCGAATCCACTGATCAGCTTTGCCACGCGTCTCCATCTTCATGACCCAGCTTTTGGTGTAGGGCCTTTGGGCATTTGGCTCTCTGTCTCTCTCTGTCTGTCTCTCTCTCTTTCTCTCTCTCTCTCTCTCTCTGTGTCTCTCTCTCTCTCTCTATCTGTCTATCTGTCTATCTCTATGTCTCTCTCTCTGTCTGTCTGTCTCTGTCTCTCTCTCTCTCTCTATGTCTCTCTCTCCCTCTCTCTCTCCCTCTCTCTCTCTCTCTCTATCTCTCTCTCTCTCTCTCTCTCTCTGTCTCTCTGTCTCTCTGTCTATCTGTCCATCTGTCTATCTGTCTACCTGTCTATCTATCTGTCGTTTCTTTCGTTTCTTTCTTTTCTGTATGTTTTCTTTATCTAGATATGTATTTCTATATATTTGTCTTTATTCCGCTTCTTCCTTTTTTCCTTTATTTGTGTCTTTCTTTATGTCTCTCTTCCTTTCTTCCTTTCTTCCTTTCTTCCTTCCTTTCTTCCTTCCTTCCTTCCTTCCTTCCTTCCTTCCTTTCTTCCTTTCTTCCTTTCTTCCTTTCTTCCTGTCTTCCTGTCTTCCTTTCTTCCTTTCTTCCTTTCTTCCTTTCTTCCTTTCTTCCT